GAAATATCTCAGTCAAAAAAGGACAAATATTGCATAGTGCCACTGTTGTAAAACAGGATTGACACTGGGGTTGAGGGAAAACTGAGTAAGAGGGGATGAACAATGTATACTGATTGAAACACATGAGGGAGAGAACTGTTTAAAAGGGATATGTGATTGGGTATTATTGTCATGACAGGAGTCCAGAATGAAGGCTGCACAGTGGAGTGGACTTGGGGGAAGGGATTGTGTAACTAACAATGAAAGAATTTTCCTTTTACTTTTCAAAGAGAAGAGTGAACTAGGGGGGAGGGGTGGGCAGGGAGAAAAATGCAACAATGAATGAATGGAAACCCTAAGTCTCTGTAAACTTTCATTTAAAAAAAATATTTAAAAAAATTTATTTAGCTTTATTCCATGGTCATGGCCAAGGTCAGATTTCTGAGGGACTGGAAGTGGCAGAGTTTATGGAACCACTGGGCACTACAGTGCTCAGCTAACTCTTGTTTCATTAACACAGTGACCAGGATCCCAACTCTGGAATGTGTACACAATGATGGACAACAAGGATTTAGAAGCGGAAATCCACCCCTTGAAGAATGAAGACAGGAAGCCACAGGAGAGCCAGGGAGACCCCTGCAAAAGCCCACCTCCACAGTCACGCCTGTCCCGGTGCCGCTCGGTGGCCTTTTTCCTTTCCCTGTTTATCTGCCTTTTTGTGGTGTTTGTGGTCTCCTTCATTATCCCCTGTCCAGACCGACCAGCATCGCAGCGAACATGGAGGATCGATTACAACACAGCAGGTGAGTCTTCAGATGTGTCTGGCTTGGGCCACAGAGCCCTCCTGAGTCCATAGAGTGACCTCCCCATGCCACCAACCCTCCCAAGTCCAGGGGTGGCTGGAGTGGGAGGTCCAGTAGAGCTGGGTCCCCCATGAGGCCAGAAGTAGCTTCTGACAGTAACTCAACTCTGAGTGGCTACCAATTCTATGTTTAACGTTTTCCTGGAATTTGAGGGAACAGATAATGAAGTGTTAAGTACTGAGTTACTAACAAAGGTCAGCAGTTCAAATCCATCAGCCACTTCACGGGAGAAAGATGAGGCAGTCTGCTCCTGTAAAGATTTCTGCTGTTGTTATTGTGTGACTTCGAGTCAGAATCAACTCATAACTTACCCTCCAGATGGTTTTCAGAGGCACTGAATCATATGGGAGAAGATGACCCATGTTTCTCCCCTGGAGCAACTGATAGATTCAGATTATGTGCTGTAGGGTTAACAGCGCAGCCTCTTAACACTAGGCCACTAGAAGCTCACAGCCTCAGAAGCCATAGGAGACAGTTCTCCACTGTCCTGCAGGGTTGCTGCGAGTCAGAATCCTTGGATGCCAGTGGGTGTGGGCTTTCTGATGATTTACAGAGCAGCCTCAGGAAGAATGAGCAGAATGCGTTGAACACTCAGTGGCCTGTTCCTCGCTTCAAAGAAGGACATGTGGGGTGGATTAGTGAAAGGTCTGTTGGGTTTCTTCTCTGTAGTAAAACTTCCTAGAACAAAGCACCTGGCTGAATTTACTGTTGTTAGGTGCCTGTGAGTCCACTATGACTCATAGCAGCCCTCTCGAACCACAGACCTAACCCTTGCCCTCACCTCCACCTTTCTCACAGTCTTGTGCTCAAGCCCATTGAGCATGCTCACATCTCTGATATACTTGAGTTCTTTGTGAGAGTGACTTTGTCAAGTCCATCTCATTGAGGATTCTCTTCCTTTCTTTCCCAGCATGAGGTCCATTTCCAAGGACTAGTCCCTCCTGAGAACATGTCCAAAGTACATGAGACAGAATTTCACCATCTTTGCCTCTAAGGAGCACCCTGACTGCTCTGCCTCCAAGACAGATTGGTTTGTTCTCTTGACAAGCCATGGGATACTCAGCACTCTCCACCCACACCACAATCCAAAGGCATTAGTTCTTTTTCTGTCTTCCTTATTCACTGTCCAGCTTTCAGGTGCATAAGAAGCAACTGAAAGTGACCCATGGTTTGGATCAGGTGCACCTTTGTCTTTAAACTGACATCATTGCTTTGGAGAACATGTCTTATGACAATGACAGCTGCTACCTTGGGTGCTGATTGTGAATCCAAATGAAATAGGATCCTTGACACCTTCAGTCTGTTCCCCATCTACCATGATGTAAAGAGAATCAAAGCCAGACTTGCGGCCGTCGAGTCAGTTACAACACACAGCACCACCTGTGAGGTTTCTGAGGCTGTAAATCTTTACAGGAGAAAACTGCTCATCTCTCTCCTGTGGAGCGACTAGTAGGCTCAGACCAATAACCTTCCGGTTAACAGCACTGCACCAACGGAGCTCCCGAGAGAGCTGCTGTAGGAAGTTGCACAGCATGTTTTGTAGCCCGGTCTCTTCAGATGCTCCTGCCAACACTCTAGTTCCCAGAGTAAAGGGTACTTTGATTTCACTCTCAAAAACTGGCATCCAGAATCCTGGCCTTTGTGAAGAGCAGCTGCATCAGCCTTCCCAGGACGCCTAGCACGTCGGTGGGAGGGAATTCGAATGGCCTCAGAATGTTTTTCTGCAGAGATTGAGGCTCCCTCTGGTGGAAAAAAACACAATGTCCTGTTGGCAATGACCGTGTAAGATCTGTTTTCTCCAGAATTTGGAAGTTTGCCTCTCATTTTGAGAGAGGGTAATAGAGTTTCCCTTCAGTTCTATCAAGGTATAGGACATACTGTGAAGTGAATTCATCTTCAGTCTACAATTTGGTGAATTTTTTTTCACTCAGATTGCAGATTGTGCACCTTATTCCACAGTCCAGATTTAGAGTATCTCTTTCATGTCCCTCAAAATTTTCCATGACCATCTGTCAGTGATCTGTATCATACCCTAGCCTAGGCAGCCACTAGTACTCTGTCTCCATGCATTTGCTTTTCCAGGAAGTTCCCATCAATGGAATTTTCAAGTAGATAGCTTTGTGTCTTTTGAGACAGACTTCTCTCACTTAGCACCTTTTCGAGAGCTTCCCCCATGCTATCAAAATGTTTGTTTCTTGTTACTGTTGAGTAATATGCTTTTGTATTAGCAGACCATTTCATTTATTCATTTACCAACTACTGGGCATTTTTACTTTTCTGGGTTTTTTACTATTATGAATATGTTACTTTGTCATGTATAATTTTTTGTGCAGACATGTTTTTCTTTCTCTTGGGTAGGATTCCAGGAATGGAATTGTTCCATATTATGATAAGTTTATGTTTCTAGGAAACTGCCAAGTAGTTTTCCAAAACAGCTGCCGTGCTCTGCATTCCCACCAGCAATGCAAAAGGATTCCCTTTTCTCCGCATCCTTGTTAATAATTGTGATTGTCTCTCTTCTTAACATAGCCATCTTTGTGATGTGAAGTTGTGTCCCACTGCTCTTTCACTTTTCATTTTTCTAAGTTGGACAGTGACTTAGGATGATAGAATAAGAGTAGAATCCTTTGAGTTGTGGTGTTGGAGAAGAGTCCCGAATATCCCGTGGACTTGTCAAAAGAACGAACAAATCTGTCTTGGAGGAAGTGCAACCAGGGTGCTGCTTAGAGGCCAGGATGATGAAACTTCATCTCACATACTCTGGGCATGTTGTTAGAAGGGGGCCAGGCTTTGGAAAAAGACATTATACTTGGAAAGATAGAGAGTCATCTAAAGAGAGGAAGACCCTCAACAAAATGGATTGACACAGTGTCTCTAACAGTGAGCTCAAATATATCAGAGATTATGAGGATGGCACAGGATAGGGCAAGGTTCATAAGATCACTATGGAGCATGATCTACTTGATGGCTCCTCACAATGATAATGACCAATGATATTGAGCATTTTCTTATGGTTATTGTTGTGTGCCGTCAGGACTTAGAAGCCCTCAATTTTACAGTATCTGGTAGAGGGAGTGTTCCTCACTTAAACATAATACCCATGCTAATAATACATTCCCAGTAAAGGAAATTCAACTACTTCATACAACATTGATTATTTTTTTCCAGTTCTCATCCAGACTTTCCATTATTCCTAAGAAGACAAGAGGGGCAGTTTCCCTTGGAAAACAAGCCCAATTACACATCTTGTCCACTCTATCAAGCAAGCAAATCCTCCCTCTGGGATATCGCTCCTGTGACTATACATTCCAATGTCACTCATCTCTGCTGTACAGATAATTGCGGGTTTAGTATTAACCTAGACATGTTCCTCCATTCCTCAGCATTCAGAAATGCAGATGCTGCCCCTACATTCGTCACTCTTGCAGTCCATTTAGTCATGGCTCCTCAGGAAGCTATCAATAACAACCAACAGCCTTTCCTCGGTGTCATAGCCCCTGGTTACAGTAATTTCTTGATCCTGCCCATCTGCCTCCTAGACTACTTTATTGTGACCACAGGTCAGAGAGGTATTTCTGGTCACTTCCACATGGTGGGGTGTTTGTTTGTTTGTTTGTTTTTTCTTTCCCGGGGAAGCTTGAGATCAAGGAGTGTAACTCTGTCCTGGTAGAAGTTTGTTCAGTTTTTATTTCAGCCATCTCAGTTCCTACTTTGTTTCCTTTGCATATGTTGCCACTTCTGATAACAAAATTTGATCATTCTATTTCCAACCTCATTTCTGTCACAAAGCCCATATTTTTCCAACTTCTGTTCCTTCTTGGTACTACAGTCGGGAAATCAGGAGACATATTGCATTGGGAAAATTAGAGACCTCTGTGAATTATTGAGGAGTAATGATGTCAGTTTGAGAACTAAGGTGCATCTGGTTCAGGCGATGGTTTTTTTGATCACTTGTATGGATCTGAGGGCTGGACATTGAATAGGGATGACAGAAGAATTGACGCCTTTGAGCTGTGATATTGGAGAAGAGCATTAAACATCCCAGGCCTGCCAAGACAACAAAAAAGTTTGTCTTAGAGTACTGCCAGAGTACTCTTTGGAGGCAAGGATGATGAAGCTTCGCCTCACATACTTCGGCATGTTGCTAGAAGGGGCTGTTCCATAGAGAGGAACATGATGCTTGGAAGGGTGGAGGATCGGCGAAGAAGAGGAAGACACCTTCAACCAGGTAGATTGAAATGGTGACTGTTGCAGTGGGCTCAAGTGTGTCTGGAAGTGTGAAGATGGCACAGGATAGAACAGGATGCCGTCCTTTGCCTTGAGTTACACTCGACTCAAGGGCACCTAACAACAGGTCCTTCTTCACTGTTTCCAACTTTTGCATTTCAGTCACCAGTTACTAACACACCTTGACTGTATGTTGGGTCAATTTTGGACTCCAAGATTTGGTAAAAGTTTTCAGTTTCTTCCTCTTTGGTCCTAGATGTAGGAGTGTGTATTTGAATAATAGTTGTATTAACAGGTCTTCTTTTTATATGAATGGAAAATATCCTATCACTTGTGGCGAGGAAGAGTGGGCAGGGAGGAAAATGTGCAACAATGAATGAATGGAAATCCAAGTTCTCTATAAACTTTCATTAAAATCTCAATTAAAAAAATTCATTCATTGTTGCACTATACTCTCCTTCCAATATGACTATTACCCAGGCATAACAAAAACAACATCCTGATACATCTACAACATGGATGAACCACCAAAGCATTATGCCAGGTAAAAGAAGTCAGTCACAATAAAAAAAAAAGAAGTCAGTCACAGAGGGACAATATTGCATCTTACACAAAATACCTAGGATGGGCAAATGCATAATGACAGATGCACAATGTAGACTTGTGGTTAGCAAGGCCTAGGATGGAGGTAAGGGGAATGAATTTTTGTGATA